AGATACCTTACTTCAACAGCACGACTCAGAAATTAAAGGTTTGGAGTTCCAGTTTGATCCATGTTATGCTTCAAAATACAAATGACAATGTACTCATAAGGATAATTAAAAAATTAGAAATAAAATATTCTGAAATAACTGAAATCAAAAGTTTTGGTCTGAAAAATGGATTCATATTTTCCAAAAGTAATTTGACAATTTAACTTTTCATGGCTAATCATGGACAATATGTTCAAAATCTCAGCAATGCTGATGGGACAAAATCCTCGACTTTCTGCCCACACTTAATACAACCTCATTTACCAACAAACATCACACACAAGAAAGAAGTGAAGATGAAGAAAGAAGTGAAGATGAAGTACCCCACCCATCCAAGAACAGGAGGTCTCCAGACACTTTGCCAGACAGATGACACCTCCTGTTACAGCCCTTATGAACTGCCCAACAGCAGAGATTAACTGGAGCTGCCTGGTCTCCCCAGCATCCTCCCAGGTCCTGGGCAGAGCTGTTTACCCTGTTTTACACCAGCTAGGATGCACGTGTGGCAGCTGGGATTTTTGCAATTCCTTTCACTCAATCTCTCTTGTCTCTGACGTGATTCATGCACTAGGGCTACAGGGAAAAAATACAGAAATTATCTGGGGACCGTATCCGCTTGGAGGGTTACAAAAAACATCAGCTCCTTCTGCAGTTGGAGAGCAGAGGAAGGAGAGCAGAAAAAGTGTGACTAACTGTTCTTGAATATACAGGAGACATGAACCAGAAAAGGAGCTGTCTTACTGTGGCTGGGGAGTTCATAGATCTGTGATTCACAGCATTACAGGGCCCATTTGGCATGCAAAAAGAGAGGATGATGAAAGGAATAGTTAGTCATGGAGAAAAAGCTAGACAGAACACACAAAGATGCTAACCCCTGGGGAAGGAAGCATATTCAGGTGTGACCCACAGCCTGGGAAAGGGAATAAGGTCTTTTTTCTTTGTTTTCCTAAAATTCCTTCTTATTTTGGTAGATAGAGTATTTGAAGGAGTGCCCTCCATCCCATCTTGTAAAAGAACCATGAATTCCAGTGCACTGTTCAAGCCTATCTCAACCCAAGAGGATGGAACAATGTTCTTCAAGCTTTTGCTAAAACCAGACAGCCGTATTCTCTCATGACCATATTTTTTTTTCCTCTCACTTTAGAAAGTGTTAGTTAAGGCATGCAAAAGAGGAAAAAAGGACATCCCAGCTACGCTGTTAGAGTGCACAGTGTACTACCCTCAGCATGTAGTTGCCGAAATCACCACTGTTGAAACACTTGCAGATAGATAGTGTTTCTGTTAAACTTTCACCTCCTTGAAAACAATCATATTTAAAGTAGGGATGAAGGAGAATGATTTGCCTTAGGGATCCCCTTGTCGACTCATGTGATTGCTGTTGAAAATGGTCTGGATCTAAAAGACCACAAAGGTGTTTGATGTTCTTCATATATCCTTCAGCAAAAGAACTGGGAGAACAGTCATTGCTCTTGTGCGTTTGCATTTTCAATAACACACATGAAACAAGCTATGCCCTGCCAGTTTGGAACAAGCTCTATCCTGTCTTGATGTACCCATGCTGTGTCTCTCCTACTGGTGTGTGTGAAGAGGATGGGCAGGAACGGGGATAAATGACATCCATAGGGGAGAAATAGGACTGGGGCTAGAGGAAGAAGATAAGAGGAAGATAAATGAAGAGGAGGAAATTAACTGGTGGGTGGAAATAAGACACTCTCCCCTCCCAAAGGAAGGAGGAAAAAATTATGAGATAGGGAGGGAAAAGGCAATGGAGACAAAAAAGCTCAAAAGACACAGGTGAAGATGAAACTATGAACATAGAAATCAAGTAGGCAGGTATGAAGAGAGAGATAACAAAGGAAGAAAAATAATGTAAAATGCAAGGAAAATCAAGAAAATATAAATGAACCCTCCCACCAAAAAGGAACTGAAAAGAGAAACTTCGGATAAATCAGATTGGTAAAATGGCAGAAAACAAAACAAAGAGGAAACGTGAACGACAAGAACACAAGCTGCATTTATACTGTTCACGGGATAGACTTCCAACAATTATTTGTCATGCTGTTGCCCTGTGGTCACTGTGATATAGATGACATCTGACTTCAGAGCAGATCTCCGAGCAGCAAGTACAAGCAATGGAGTGTGATTGCCACAACTGTGACTGCCAAACCAGAGTTTCCCAAGTGGGAGAGTGATCCCATAGAAAAATCTGAGATCTGAACGTCAGTTTACTGTCTCCTTTATGTCAAGACAGTCTTCTGCCTTTCCTTCTCTGACATGTTTGATGGATAAATCCATCCTCTGGGCTCTGGTTTGGACACTAGCCCAACCAAAATCTAGCAATAATGGGACAAGAGCATGGTAAACAATTCAGTCTGCTGCCACTGGTAAATTTTCCAGCACAGAGCATGGCCTTCTTTCTCCATTGTGAATAAATGACTCCAAATTGTCTTGCTACCTTCCTGCAAGATAAGGACTACCAGCCAACCTGTGAACAAACACCCAAGTCATGAAATGAATTACAGCCAACTAGCACAGCTCAAAATAAGGAAAAAGTCAGTATAAAATTTTTAGAAAGGTTTCCCATTCAGACAAGCGGCAAAAATGAGGGATGGTATCACTGGGAAACTGTGGCAATTCATGGAAAACTATCAAATCCAGTGCTTACCATGGGTGTCTTTACCGCACCCATTAAAGCTTTTAAATGCTGCTCTGAATCACAAGGTGCCTCTGAGGCCCCGTGGTGTAGGCAGTGTCCGTGTATAGCACCCTACAACAGTCCTCTAGGGTTGCTAAACCACTTGCTCACGCTGTAGGTACATACTCAAACACACAAGTGATCTCACTGTTTTCAGCAGTACCATTTCTGTGATAACTAACTATAAAAAAAACCAAACAGGAATATCTTCTTCTGCCTGAACCAAGAAAAGGTTTGGAGTTGAATCCACAGCCCCCTGTCAGTCCCACCAGTGTGCCTCTGTGCTTGGAAAGCAGGCACCACTGCTGCCCCTGAGCATTTGAAAGCATCCCTGTGGCAAAAAGCAGGCAAAATCACCCAGAGTCTGTCATCCCTTATGGCTCTTCTTACACCAATAAAGTTGAAATGTAAAGAGCTGGGTTTGGCACAAAAGCTGCAGGTAAATCTCACTGGTATATTATTATTTTTTACATCAGATTGGTCATGCTCATGCTGAACCATAACTTTCCTAACTGAAACATTTCTGGTTACTTTAAAATATGAGTTAATAATGATGAATCACAGGTAAGGATGATCCTAAATTAAAGAGGCATGGTACAAGGCTTTGCCATAATCAGGGAAAATACTGTTATCTAGAGACACAGAACAGCCACATTTAATCTTGCATTCTGCACTTTAGACCAAAGAAATACTAATTACATTCCCTTTAGCCCCCTTGCATGGTGCCATCCAGCACATGCCCATCAGAACAATGAATACATACATCAAGCGAAGAGTAAGGCTAATTTCCTGTGGTTGTTTTACAAGCAAGAGATTAAACTGAGACTACCCTGCAGAGTTTAAACAACGTGCGTGTAATAAACCTGATGCCGTAGTATGTAATCAGAAGTCAAACAGAAGGTTTAATGCAGCATTCACATGTAAAATGTCTGCAGCGGAAACAGCCCAGCCCTCTAATTTCAGTCTTTGTTCCAAAATGAGACCTTGGGCCAGGTGCCTCTGAACACGTGCTGAAGTCCCTGTCAAAGGATGGAGATGGAATTTCTCCACCGAAATGATGCAAAAGTCAGACTGGCTCCGTGCAGGCAGAAACGCTCTGGAGCCCATCAGAAGACAGGCTGTGTTTGAGCCTGTTAGTAAGTGCGTAATTGCCACACTGACTGTATGGAGAAATTTTGAAATGTATCTGTTATTCTGCCCGTTCCTCAATTAACTAAATGACTCTACACGGTTCCTGTATGACACCAGAGACATTTACCGCATCATTTGACGTCTTCCTAATGTTAGAAATATCCCATAGACATTCACCCACAGCTTTCCAAAACAAAAGCAGTCAGACAGAATATGGCCATGCATTTTAACTCATCTTACTGGGTTAAAGATCCAGCATGGCCACGCACTCAGATCCTGGTAAGCTCTTGGGGAAGTGCAGGGGGTGACACAGACAAAAGCTGGGGCTCCACCATTTTCAGTGAATCATGGGCCTGATGTGTGACAGGGCAAGCACCATGGGGACGGGAGGGATGACACAGCCTGGGGCTGGGAGGGAGGTGCGGGAAGCTGGAGAAGGGCTGTGAGGGAGGCCAAGGCGGGGAACCAGGAGCTGTGCAGGACATGGCGGAGGCCAGGGGCGGAGGGAAAGGAAGATGGTATGCCAGGAGCCACAGGCCAGTGGGCAGAGCGGTCCCGGAGGAAGGAGCAGCAGGCAGCGTGTGGGCCAGGAAAAGCTGTGAGGCAGCCGGGCAGGTGGGGCTAGTTGCCCCCCCCCAGGGCCAAGTCAGCAGCCCCACGCTCAGTGGGCAGGGAGCTAGCAGCCACAGGCGTCTGTCTGCACCCATCTGAGGGCAGGATCAGGGCCTCTGCTTATGTATTCACTTGAGGACAAAGTCTATTAGCATTCACCCAAGCCATTTTAAAACTTCCCAGTTATTGAGAGTCTCCCTGATTAGGCAGTGAGGAGTACAGGCTCTGCACCACAACCATCACCACAGTGTAAGCATCAGAAAGGAAGCAAGGCTTTCAAGGTTGAGAATAAAAGACTCAGTTTACAAGCTTATAAATTATTTGTATCTTTGACTGAAGGCTGGAAGCTTTGTTGAAGCCTGAAAGATATTAAGCAACTGCTCAAGAATCTCCACTAATTAAAAAAAAAAAAAGGCAACAACACCCCTCCTCACCCCCCATTCAGTATTCAGAAACAATTCTCTTGGAATTTAATCTGCACACCCTTACTGCAGATCAGTGAATATTGAAAACGGATCAGTACCTGCTTTGTAAGTCATTCAGGTGCAATTTGCCTACATAATGGGTGGCTGATGAGACAGTGATGATCCTAGCGTTGTGACTGTGCGTTCCTGATTGCTTCAGCGTATCCAAGAGGAGGTTAGTCAACAGGAAGTGTCCCAAGTAGTTTAAGCCGAAGTGCTCCTCAAACCCATCCTCTGTCTTCCTTTCAGGGACCAGCATCACCCCAGCTGGAGAAGAAAGTAGAGGTAAAACCTGTTGATTTATTTCAAAGAAGCAGCAAGCCATAAGGAGCATGGATATCCTGCAGCAGAGTGTAAACATAGCATTTAGAGCAATGAGCGATCGGTGATGGCATGTGAAGTATAAAGCAGACACTGATTGATTCCTGCCGAGAAAAATGTCAAAACACCCACTTCAGTTCCCTTACCCAGAAAACAGGTAGACTGACTCTCTCCCTCCCTCCCTTCCTGAAGGTCTGTGAAAATAAATGAGTGCATTTGTGAAAAGTGTCTTGAAGACATTAAAAGTTGAGTTAACCCATTGCTGGTGTGCCAGAATGCAATGCTGCAGATCCACAACAACAATTAATCCATCTACAATAGGTGGGAGCTGGGTAATCCAAACAACATTCTCTCCATCAAAGAGCTCAGAGCAGTGGAGACAAGATCAGGCTAAGCAGCAGACCTGCTCTCCTAGATGGTTTTCTGCTGAGTCCTGGCTGGAGTTTAAAGATCTCTTGAGTCTTCGTCTCAAATCTGCAACTTCTATCTCACTGGTGTGGGTAAGAAAAGATGTAGTAAATTTACCCAATATATCTTAATTACTATGCTTACAAGCAGCTGCATATTGAAATGAGTTTTTGAATGCTTATTTTGGCAATATTTTTGCATATATTTCTACAAACCACAATTTTCAAACTCATTGCCTAAAATAAGTATCCAAATCCCTAACATGCAGTGTTGATTTCAGCATCTTGCAGAAAATCCTGAGCTCATGCATAAATTACATCTTGTATAGAGGCTGCGTGGGGGATAGCTATTAATTATAATGTGGACTTGAACATTATAAATTATTCTTATTTTATTAAAACGTAATTATTATACAAGTGGACCTGACCTTTGTCATTTAAATGTAGATGGACATGGCTCATGGCAAATAATGTTGTAGGCCATTTGTCTTCTCTCTTAAACACATGAATATGATACAGCAGAAAGGCCACCTCTGCCCACAGACACGACAGTGTCAGCTTAATCCTCATGCTACTTCATGCGTCCACTAAAAACCCTTTAACATCCCATTTCTTGACGTCAGACTGATGATGGCATATGAAATTATGATTTCAAATTGCACATGCTGTGCAACTGCACCACTCCTTTGCAGGGCAGGGGGGTCCCACCTCCCAGCAGTCCTGCTTTGTTACTGCCACTCAGGCTGAAGAGGAGGCATTCTCAGCATCTTTTTAGCATGGCCAACACCCATAGTGATTCACCTGTGGGCTGCCTACTGCTTAATAGGCGCACACGACAATGAAATAGCTGGCCATGTGTGAGAGCACAGCCCAAAGTAAAGCATGGGCATTTTGTAGGAGTGGAGATTAGCCATTTCAATGCTAGTCTTGACTGTTTCTAGAGACTGTGGCTTTATACAGGTAGGGGAGAAAAAGCATGAGGAAGGTGGGAGAAGAGCAATGGTGAAAGGATGTAAACAAAGAATGTAAAACACAGCAGATGACAGAAAAGAAAGTGAAGGTGAGGAAGGGAGAGGAAGACAACCGGAGATGCAGTGTAAGGGGAAGGAATGAGAGAAGAAGACAGAGCAAGCAAAAGGTTTGAGTCTAACACGGCATACCCACATACAGAGAACTTACAACTGAAGGTGAGAGATGCTGGCTGATAGTACCATGAAAGAAACACAACACAAATTACATGATGGGGCCCTACAAAAGCTCTGATTGGCATCTCTCTCTGTCATTACAGCCACTTTCCCAGACACCTCAGAATGACAGGAAAACCCAGCTGCCAGGTGTGGTTTCTCTGCATGTCAAAGCTCAAGCTTAACAACGGAAAGGCACAAATTATAGGGTGTCTGGTCGCGTGTCCTGTTGTATTCTCCTTCCTCAATAGCACTTACTCCAGTGCATGGTGTAACTGCTCATAGAGTTGGAAACAGATTTCCATATCCTCCATAATCTGCATATATGGCATACAATGACACCCAGAAGAGCAGTTGAGACTGAGCACTGGCGTGAAGGTCATGGACAGACATAAACACGTGACAAGCCCTGCTGCAACTTTTTCTTGTTTTCTGGGAAGAAGGAAAAGGCAGGAAAGGCAACAAACCCCAGTCTTCCAGACCAAGTCTTAGCCTGCTACGGTGCAAGTTTTAACAGAGAGAGAGCTTAGCACCAGCTGTTGAAGGGCTGATGGGAACGTGGCTGCATCTCTGAGCACCAGGGCTGGACAAGGAAATGATTTGCATGTCTCTGAGGTCCATCCTGTCCTCCAAAGCCCTGACACTTGGAAAAGGTGGGAGGAAGCAGTTTGCCAGACATCTATTTGCAGCAAGACCAGAAAAATGCAAGCCCAAGAAAAAGCAGCCAACATAAAACAGCCCTGGCACAGCAAATCTGATGTGAACCCCAAATACTGGTTCTGCAACTGCCAGGGCTGCTGCAGGGCTTGCTATAAGACCCCTCCATGAACACACACACTTTTTTGGCTGAGTCAGACAGAGGTATGGAGGAATTCGTCCAGCGAGAACTGTGGTAGACAGCTGCTACAGTTATTCAGCTTTGAATCACAATCACCAGGCAAACCCGGGGAGGCTGTCACTGCCCACACCAGCCCCGAGGATGCCTGTGCTACAGCAACTGCCCCCTCGACCTCCCAAGAGGAGCAGGATTTCAAGAGCACATAGAGGCTTTGCCCTCCACCCCAATTAGTCTTCACCATCTGTGCTGCACGTCCTGGAAGCAAAAAACAGACCTGAGCTCAGGGTGGGAGATGGAAAAAAATTTTCACTCACGCAACGCACAACCATTAAGATACACGTTCCTAAAAATTGTTTTGCTCATTCTTCAGAAGCTTGCTCTGAGTAGAAATTGTGGTCAAGTCTGTGAGCAGGTGCAATCACCTCTGCTTGCATTTCTTGCTACTACAATTCACTTTTTGTCTTCAAGAGCTGGTCAAATAATATTAATCCAAAACACCTTTGAAAGGTATTTTTTTTAAAAGGCTCTCATCTTTGAGATGGTTCATATCAAAGCTATCAAAAAGTCATGCCCTGCAATTTAAGGGCAGGTTCTCTTATTCGTGGATAAGTCGTTTTAATTCACTGAGAGCGAGTGTACAAAGGAATATCCAACAGGCAACTGAACCTGGCTGCTTCTCTGACAAAAGGGAAAACCTTGAAGTGTAGCTGCAAGCTCTCTTTTTTAAATTATTAACTACCTAACATTCAGTAGATACCAAAAGTGGCATGCTATTGATTTTCTTTTGTCCAGAAACGTCATCAGCTTTACTCAAGGGCCCGAAAAGGTAACTCAAAGAATGAACACTGCTTCTATTTTCAAGTCTTTCAATTAATCCAATATATTTGAAACATTTAAAAATGCCCTTTTTTCTTTTTTTACCTTACCTCTTCATTGTAAACTAAACTAAGAATGATTTTGCTTATTCTTCTGGTATGGAAGCCATACGACTCAGTATATTTCTGATTTTAATTATCAATAGTCAGTCTCCTCAATTTTTTGGAGTGCATGTGAAATTTGAAGTGTCAACACAAAGGCCATTAATGTCAAACACCTCAGTTCTCATACAACTTTCTTATAGGTTTTTCCCTTTGATTTAGCTGCATTGTTTCCAGAAGACTCATTTTAAAAAATGTCACTGCTATCAGAATGGCATTAGAAAATAAATTAAGCAAGCTGAACATGAGCATTTACTTTGTGATTGATTAGCTGTTACTGAAATATTCAAGCAATAGACTGACAGTATGCATGCAGAAAACTGGCTAAATGACACACTGATGTCTGATCTTGCAAGAGTAGAAATAAACAGGAATAAGGAAAATATTTTGCTGCATAACTATGCTGAAGCACAAGGTGCTGCACCTGGGTCGGGGCAGTCCCTGGTATCAATACAGGCTGGGGGATGAGTGGATTGAGAGCAGCCCTGGGGAGAAGGACCTGGGGGTGCTGGTGGATGAAAAACTGGACACAAGCCAGCAATGTGCACTGGCAGCCCAGAAGGCCAACTGTATCCTGGGCTGCATCAAAAGCAGCATGGCCAGCAGGTTGAGGGAGGTGATTCTCCCCCTCTACTCTGTTCTGATGAGCCCCCCCCTGCCGTGCTGCATCCAGCTCTGGGGCCCCCAACATAAGACAGACATGGACCTGTTAGAGAGGGTCCAGAGGAGGGCCACGAAGACGATCAGGAGGCTCGAGCACCTCTCCTATGAGGACAGGCTGAGAGAGTTGGGGTTGTTCAGCCTGGAGAAGAGAAGACTCCAGGGAGACCTTATAGCGGCCTTCCAGTGCTTAAAGTGTCTATAAGAAAGATGGGGACAAACTTATAAGCAGGGCCTATTGCGCTAGGACAAGGGGTAATGGTTTTAAACTAAAAAAGGGTAGATTTAGACTAGATATAAGGAAGAAATTTTTTACAATGAGGGTGGTGAAACACTGGAACGGGTTGCCCAATGAGGTGGTAGAAGTCCCATCCCTGGAAACATCCAAGGTCACGTTGGACGGGGCTCTGAGCAACCTGCTTTAGCTAAAGATGTCCCTGCTCACTGCAGGGGGTTGGAGTGGATGGCCTTTGAAGGTCCATTCCAGCCCAAACTATTCTATGATTCTATGAACAACAGTTCTTATAGTAATAAATTCCAATGTGCTGCAGTTATGTATTTATTGTTCAAATTATACATATTTTTATTAGCTATAACGGAATAAAATATTCTATCCTTTTTTACTTTTATGACTAGGCAATAGCCATATTTTTCTCTCAAAGAATGAATATACTTCAAGAGAACTGTCTTTGTAAACAGTCATTTATCATGATTTTCTATAAAAGTTTCTAACGAAACTCTTGGTTTGGGATCCATCAATGAACTAGTCTTATGTGATTTTAAGAGCATAATGGATCTGATACAGCATACACCAAAATCAAAAAGTTTATGACAGTTGTAAATGTTGCAGGCTGGGCACACCGTATTTTTATCGGATTAT